ACAGCAATAATGATGATGATGATGATGATGATGATGATGATGATGATGATGATGATGATGATGATGATGATGATGATGATGATGATGATGATGATGATGATGATGATGATGATGATGATGATGATGATGATGATGATGATGATGATGATGATGATGATGATGATGATGATGATGATGATGATGATGATGATGATGATGATGATGATGATGATGATGATGATGATGATGATGATGATGATGATGATGATGATGATGATGATGATGATGATGATGATGATGATGATGATGATGATGATGATGATGATGATGATGATGATGATGATGATGATGATGATGATGATGATGATGATGATGATGATGATGATGATGATGATGATGATGATGATGATGATGATGATGATGATGATGATGATGATGATGATGATGATGATGATGATGATGATGATGATGATGATGATGATGATGATGATGATGATGATGATGATGATGATGATGATGATGATGATGATGATGATGATGATGATGATGATGATGATGATGATGATGATGATGATGATGATGATGATGATGATGATGATGATGATGATGATGATGATGATGATGATGATGATGATGATGATGATGATGATGATGATGATGATGATGATGATGATGATGATGTGATTGTTTATCCCGCACGAGCCACTGACATATGTTTCCATGGGCTGGTCATTATTATGGACCCGAGAATAACGCCCTCTGTTGACTCTTGTAGTCCCAATCCTCGGTGCCAATTCGTCATTGGCCAATTTCCCGCAGAACGCTGCTCACTTTTTACCTAATGGTCTTAGACCGCTTAGAGATTGCACCGAATAAACTGGCACTCGCCTTCTCTAGTAGCTGAGTGACGCATGCGGTCATTAAATTTGAATCCAGTTGACTCTCCCTCAAATCACTTCTCTGCTACTGCTAATGCGAGAACGCGGATTTCAATCGGTTGTTGCCAGAAAACGCAGCGTGCACTCGCGACTATCGATCCTAGTCGCGGTTTCCAGCCGTTGGGTGCGCGCTACGCGTCATGTGCGCTTCGAGTATCGATCCACCGAGACAATTGTGCCTACGATTTGGCTCACCGAACAAAGTAAATACAAAATACCGTAGGTAGTGAGCGAGTAGAAATAATTCTAGGTTGATCTATGGAGATTTGGTCGTGCACACATGTGGTATAACATCAATACCGTCCACTTTCAGCATATTGTAGCTGCACGGTGTCATGTTCTCGTATGACGCGCCCTCTAAATCAATAAGCAGCAAAGTGGGCGTCTAGGAATTTCTTGAATTCGAACACAGATTTCGGCTATCCTCTTGCCTGGGGTGAACTGTTCCAATAATACACTATTCGACTCTCCAAGCGTAGTGGAAATACGTTAATACAAGCCTGTGACAGCACCTGCATTTGCTGCTTGGTACACTCATCTGGAGTGGCCGCCTTTGCATCGGGATTTCACGGAACTGTACTATCCCGTGGGCCGTTATGAGGTCAACTCAGAACCGATGATACGACAGGGTGTACATCCCCAGTCTTCTGCATCGGCCTTCGTACCATATACTCCATAACTTGGGGTTGACTCTGACAAATACATACTGTACTCTTCCATTCCCTGGACCTTGCAAGGGTGATCGGACAATAGGACGCTGAGCCATACTCTTACGATAGAAAAGAAGAGGCGGGTGGCAATCCCTTCAGACCAAGTGCAGAACCAGCGTTTGAGTGCCCGAAGCATGCGTAGTCCGTCTCCTTAGTTGTGTTCTCGCCAGTATAACTGGACGGCTCCCTGTGGTTTCACTTTGATTGCCAGCAGTCAAGCCACGGGACAAAGAGTGTGTTGAACTGAACACAACACACCAATACCGTTCAGCTCACAGTTGTGTGTGCGTTTGATTGTTTAGGTCGCTAAGATTCAATGAGGGTGTATAGTGCGCAGCCGGTGACAGTCACGATTATTTCTGCAGCAAAATTAACTGGGTGGTTTGACTGTAGGCAGGAGTTGTTCCCATCCAAATCACACAGCTGCTTGTGGTAAATTGCGCACTTACCTTCCTGAACAAGTCAATTTGTTTCGTTTCCTGTGCACACTCGACTTGGAACTGTGGAGGGTTTTGTGTTTTTGCGCAAGTTACGAGATTCAGCCCGATTCACTGGCACGAATTCGCTTTGATTTTCAGAAATTAGTTGGGTTTGGGCTTGCTCTAGGCCCTAACATCCCCATAGCCTGCTCGTATTGTACATGGACTTCAAACCGCAGCTTGCCAGTACGTGCGAACATCCGGCATTGGGACAATCTCTTACAGGACCGGGAATTAACGCCACTGCGTAACCTTTTCGAGATGTGCATCTGGACGGTGGCTCAGAGTTGTGAATCATGCAGAGGCTCGCTGATCGATTGGACGCTGGCTGGTTCCACGACTTTTCCCTAGACCCGTGCGTTACCAATTCCGGGCGGCCACAGGTGACGTATGCGGTGGATTTGCATGATATTTAACCAAATGTGCTCGCAACAGCCTCTATGAACCCTTTAACACGCAGACTGTAAGGCTTGCTTTTGTGCACTTTACATGTAGGTAGCGACGTATGTTACGTTATGGACACCGCTGGTGTGCCTAACGGTGTACAACCTAACAGTCCGTTGTGCCAATATGCTCAAACGAACTAATTGACCGCAATCTGTACACTTTTCTCTTGCCACTGTAGCAATCTGGAGATTCCTAGGGTTGCCTGTGTACAATTCTAATTAAAAATAATATTTCCTTGTACATTTAGGCTACCGGTAGGTATTGTTGAACTGGTTGTTGGAATTGATTGCTTGAATTGAGCATCGTCATTTTGCCTGGCGCCCGTTTCGATTGCTACGTGCAATCACATTATGTACTGTGTAAGTTGCGTTTCCCTAGCGTTCATCTGTGTCGGTTTTATAGCTAAGCAAACAGGGAACATTTCGCTGTACAATTAAAGTTTCTCTGAAACCCGATCAGTCTTCTGGAATCGCTATCCGAGCTCCCGCTAAAGGCTTCCCGCTAGAAATCTCGTCAAGACGGGTTGAAACTTGAATGTTACCAGGTTTAAGCTGTCCCACAATCACCCTGTAAACCTATTACTTTTTGAACGAAACTACCTTAATCTCCACCTCCTCCATCTCCTCAACCAGACAGCGGAACTTTTCCGTTACAACCCACCGAATAGAGACCTCAAACAGTTTTTGAAAGACAGGTTTGTAAAGCAAATTACCAGGGATGATGTCCGTAATGTTCGTCCTTGAGTGCGACCGAATGTGGATTCTAAGCATTTGTTTCCAGGTTTTACTACATACAGTGAAGTTGTATCAGGTTGTCAGTTCTATGGAAGAGCAAGCATTTGCGCGGGTTATTTAGGTGGACGGCCGATGCACGCACATCTTCTTCGCACAACAGGAACAAATCAAAATGTTCCACTGATTTTCGTATTTGTTTGCATGGACGCCATTCCTGGCACTAACAGTTGGAACTTACAATCATAGGAGCCATCACATATTTTTTGCGGTTTCAAGCTGTACAGGGTTTCGATTTCTGACGAGTTGAGTTACGGCCGGTCCATTTTTATGCCTTTATGTGTCGGGAAACGAACGTTTCTCTGCTTTCTTTGTTCAACAAGTTAAGAGAAATAACGGGTTATGAGTTCCCTCTCTGGCACCATTATAATGGAGAAATTGGCTTCTCAAATGCATACCGCGCACACAAGTTTCTAATGCGATCCTCTGTTGCATTAGTTGCAAATTCGTGAGGCCACCGGGAAGATGTATGTGTTATATCGTTGTAACTTTCCGCAGACAAATATCACTTGATCACGTTTCATTTACCATCAGGTAGCACGGAGCGGGGGTAGAGTCTAGTTCGATTCCTTAATGTTTCCATCGCAGATTCCAGCATGATATATAGCTTCTTCAACGAACAGACTCCCATTTTGTGCGTTATCTCACAACTCACCGGTTGTAGAACTGTCGGTTGTGGGCTAAACACGAACTCGGTGGACTAGTACACTTTGGGAAGACAAATAAAAGCCCAGTTGGGGATGCAAACTTGCGCTCAGAGTCGGTGATGCATGCTTTACACAATTGTGTCGTAACCATTTGTAAAGACTGAAAGTATTGAGAACTTCTCCTCAAGCAGTTCCTGATGTATGTGACGTACTTCTGTGACATTCACCAGCTGCTGAACGGCAGCGGATACGTTAGTCGTGCACACTTATTCATTTGCTTTTCAACATATATATATATATATATATATATATATATATATATCAAAGCTATAGCTTGCTTGCAGCTTGAGACACCATTCGCTCCGTTAGGCTGCTGTGCGCGCCTCACGAATGACTGCTGCATACGCCAGTTAGGTTGCTTATTAGTCGAGCGGCGGGAAGAATGGCAATGTGTGCCATTGGACAGTTAGTAATTCAACCTGAGACTGAGACTGAGACTGTATTTAAGAGCAAGTAGAAAGGTTTCTGTACAACTCTATCGAATTACGAAAAATCAAAATTTACTTGTGAATTATCAGCAGTTGTGTCTGGTCCGTTAATCGTTTATCCGTGTTCGGTTAGAAATTTGTACTAGCGTCATTATTTCCGGACATACAATGTCTTCTTTTGGCACTGTATGTGCATCGTTTCACAAAAGCACAGGTTTCCAAAATAATCGTCGATACGGGTTTTAAAACACTTCACAGAATCGGCCTTTATTAATCCTTCTGGTAGTGTATTCCATAAGTTTACGATTCTTCGTTCGATACAAAGCTGATGTGATACTTTGTTCATGCTGGGGACCCTGAGTTTGTAACGATGTCCTCGGGTGTTACAGGGTTCTCGCAGGTGAAATATTGGCCGCAGTATGGGGAAGTGATTCAAGTGTAGTACTCGATGGGTCATAATAAGATCAATTCTTACTCGGCGGTAGGATAGTGTGTAGAGTCCGAGCTTTTCGCAACGTTTTTCATATGGAAGCTTTCGTAGACTTGGTATCATTCTAGTTGCGATATGCTGTATTTTCTCCAGTTTTTCAGTTTCCCATTGGGTTATCGGATGGTAAGCTGGGGCACCGTATTCAAGGATTGGTCTGATGAGCGAGGTGAATAGACGAGGGACCGTTTCTTCGGACCATGTGGAGAAACTGCGTCGTAATGCCCAGAGCATACGAAGTCCCGCACGGTACAATTTCTCTGTATTTTCTAGTGATCTTAAATCATGTCGTGAGAGAACTCCTAAGTCTCTGACAGATGTGTTGGGATGGAGCAACTGGCCGTCCAAGGTGTATGATCGAGTGGCTGGACGTCTGGTGATACTGATGAACTCCGACTTGCTTGCGTTAAGAGGGAGTTGCATTTCAGTGGACCACGTTGACAGTCGCTCTAAGTCATGCTGGAGGCGAGCGCAGTCGTCCTGGTTTTCAATGATCCTCCAGATTTTCAAATCATCTGCAAACAGGACACATGGTGACTGGAGCTGCTGCGGAAGATCGTTGATATGAATAAGAAATAATGCTGGCCCAAGTACAGTTCCTTGAGGCACACCACTGGTCGATGGGAACCATTCTGTCAGATAGTCATTGACTTGTACTCTAAACCTTCGTCCCACAATAAACTCTTGTATCCACTGAAGTAACGTGCCACCGATTCCGTATGTCCTCAGTTTACGAAGGAGTACCTCGTGGTTCACTCTGTCAAACGCCTTACTAAAGTCGATGTACACCACGTCAACATCCTTCTGTTCATTGAGAGCTCGAACCCACTGGTGATTTGCGTACATCAAGTTGGT